CTCAAATATGTAATGCAGCTCAGGTTGACCTTGATCTCCCAATCCTCATATTCCACATCTGGAGTACTGAGAGTCTATGTGTGAGACGTGGTGCCCAGTTTCTGCGGTGCTCATGATTGAATCTGAGGCTTCCTCTGTGCTAGGCAACTGCGCTACAGCCCCAGCCCAGGAGTATTTTCATTTTCTGCATTGGGTAATCTGTTTTCCCCTCAATATTATATCTGATTTAATAAATAAACACTTCATATGAAAACAAATTAGGAGCTTGAAAGTGAGTCAAGTTACCATTCAAAATGTCTTCACCTACATTTATTCCTATTGTGCATATCCAGTCTTCGTCTTCCATGATCATACTCAAAGTGAGAACTGAGAAGGTTTTCCATCAAGTTTGAAATTTTTTCACTGACAACGACATACTGGTAGGATTTTGGAAGAAAAAAAATGAAGACATTGCAGTCAATTCTAGTATCTATAATTACTATTTCTTTGGAGAACTAATTTTTTTTCAGAACAGCCAATTCTAATGTCTATAATAACTCTTTCTTTGGAGAAATAAATTTTCAGAATGATGAAAGAATCTATCTAGTTCATTCTTTATGGGTGATTAGAGGAAGCTTGTCTAGTTAGTTATTTCTGATTCAGTGTTAGAGTTTTATCATGGATCACAAGTCATTGTACACTGGAAGCCCTCTATAATTTTAAAAAACCTCATTTATACCTAAGAGGAAGTGCTCTCATTTCTGGAGTTGGGGAGGAAAAAAGAAAACAATCACATATATAAAGAATTGGCATTGGTTGTGAATAGTCAGTCAAACATTAGAAAACTGGGGTTTACACTATAGTTTATAATTCTAGTATATTTCTGCTCATTCCTATGATCCATTTAAGTTAAAAAACGCAGGGTCTAATTTTGTGTAAACTTTCCCACAGTCTGGTAAAGAGTCTTACTGCAATTGCCTTTTTTAAGAAATAGCAGGAGCCACAGATATAGCTCAATTAGTAGAGTGCTTGCCTAGCATGCATGAAGCCCTGAGTTTGATACCTAGCAATGCACAAAATAGGTGTAGTTGTGTACTTTTTGCAGTGGTCAGGTGGAATCAAAAGAATAACAAGTCCTGATGCCAATATTCTGGGCTTGTGGCCCTACAGAGGCCAGGGTCTGGGGTGGTGTACATGGCTCCTGTTGCTGCTGAGGGCTCTGCAGATGCCCAGCATCTGATCTGCCATCTGAGACCATGTTGGTGTCCGAGGGTTATGCTAACACCAGGTTCATGGCTATGTCTGGACCTGAGCTGCTGCCAAAGGCCATGTCTGGGTCCTGCTGCAACTGGGGTTTGTGTTGATATCTATGTCCCTAGTTACCACAAGGGCTCATAGGAACCATGTCTGCTGAAGTCTGAGGGCCGTGCTGAGTTGGCTCTGCCCTTCACTAACCCTGGATAGTTGGATACTGCAGTAGGAGGGCTGGTCCTGCCCCTCAAGAGAGAGAGAATTTCCACACTTAAGAAAGATGGCCCCACCCCTCAACATGGAGTGTTCCTCACCTGGGTAGCACACTAAAGCTCACCCTGTTGGAGGGGACACAGGGAAGCCATCCCTGAGGTACTGAGAACAAGAGAACTTGTCCAGCTCTTTGCTGTAGGCTGCATTGGGTGAGCTACCAGAGGCAGTGCTGAAGAGCCGGCCTGAATAGTGACAACGAGGAAAAGCTGTCTGTCTGACCAACCTAGCTATTACTCAGACCCAGAATCAGGGTCATGAGCTAGCCCTCTCCCAAATTCACCTCAACTATGAACTGTTGGAGCATGTGAAGGGGACAAAGCCAAAGATCCAAAACTTCAGGATCTCCAATACACGAGGCAAAAACAGGACATTCCAGAGGTGTCCTAGTGAGAGCCCATCATCTATAGAGTGTAGCAGAAACCAGAGGCCTCTAACCAGACCAAAGACTCATGGCAAGGATAACTTACAAGTAAAGATGAACGGACTAAAGGGTAAACTGTGTGACTCACAGGGCCACACGACAGCTACCACACCGAGATTCTTCTCCTTTTCTGTGGTTGTTGTTTTGTTTGTTAGGTTGTTTTTTAAATTTTGTTTTGCTTTTGGGGTTGCAAGGGCAGAGGACAGATGCAAGGGGACAGAGAGAAGAGTGGGGTCAGGATACATGATGTGAAATCCACAAAGAATCAACAAAAGCTAAAAGAATAATAAAAGTTTCAGGTCATTTCTTGCAACACAGTGAGTTTGAGATCATTCTGGGATATATAAGACTAAAGCAAGTGGCAGAATTATAATTATTTGTTTTGAGTTGCTTGAGATGGAGAATTAATCAGCCCTAGGATGTAACTCTGTTATAGAATGGATATATTTGAAATGTCTATTCAATACTCACAAGCAAAGCATGGGGAGAATGCCGAGGTAGGAATACAGAGAAGTGCAGTACAATCTTGATTTTTGTCTCTGTATAACTATGAATAGTTTACAAATCTCCCCTGCTTCCTGTGCTGTCTTGTCAAATACACTGCATCCATTCTCTACTGTTATTTATAAGGTTACTGTGAGGGTCAAATGAAAGTACAAAATGGAAGATCCATTTAAAATGTAACCTATTGGCTTAGATTAATGGCTCAGGAGTTAAGAACACTTGTCCTTGTAGAGGACCCAGGTTGGATTCCTGGTACCCATCTGGTGGCTCACAATCATTTCTAACACGAGTGCCAGTAATAGGAAACTCTCTTCTGACCTCTGATGGCACCAGAAATGCACATGGTGCAGTTGCATATGTGCTGCAAACTACTTATACACATAACATAGATCAATTTAATTTTTAAGAAAAATATCCCATTGGTGTGTGTGTGTGTGTGTTAGAGTATAACGTCACTTCAGATGCCTGATCTCACTCATCCTTCATATTCATTCTCATTGATAGTTGAATGCTATTTGATTTTTTTCATCTTAGTGCTAAATAACAATTTTGCCCATCAGTTTGCAAGTGGGAAAAGAATGGTAGCTGGGAGGTTAGTAAACACAGAATAATAATGAGACTTCCAAATGATAAGTTCCAGAAATTTGTAGCAGTTATTACAATTTATATTGCAATGAAGAAGCTAATGCAGTGCAATTTACATCTTCGGACAACAGACGTTTGTTATCAGCAAACAAAAGCAGTCAGCGCTTATTATCCAGGATCGAAGTGACATGCGGCATATTAACATAAATATGATTCCATTTGAATACAATATGAATCTAATGCAAATGTAACTGACTAAAACCAAAGAATTCTCGACTTTCTCACACAATTCTTCATTTCTGTAAAAAGCAAAATTATTTTGTTCAAATGCAGGTGAATAAAATGTCTTACTTAATATAACTAGCTAAATGTATTAAATGGACTCCTTACACCTACTTAGTAAGTATGATGGGATCTACACATTCAAAATTAGTTTTTGAAGTCCAAAATTTTTTGGCATGGAAAGAAATGTTTGGTTGGATAAATTAATCTTTACTTGTTTAACATTAACATTTGTTACCCAGTATATGATGCATAACCCTTTGCAATATGCCTTGTTTCATATGACTAGTAATTCTGAAATATATGCAATTATATATCATTAGTAGTGACCATATTAATGTATACGATTTGGAGAATTCATGTGATCTTTGTATTATGTTACATTGAAATGAATTGTTGATATATGAGCATTTTATATACATATGATCCAATAAAATAAAATTTTTCTTAAAATAAAGTACACATACAAGGAAACGACCTACTTGTTCATAGCTCAGTTTACATGCAATTTGAGGGAGAATGGGATGGGGCAGGGAATCGTCGAGTCTGTATTTTGCACAGAAAAATAAATTCAAATTAGGCCCATTGATTCTTATAGCTGACTTTAAAAGCTGTAGTATACTAATTAATACATTCAAGGATATGATATACTTGAATAGAAATCGAGACTTTTTTCTTCACTGTCATGAAAACATTCAGTTTATTTTCTTAAAGATTAAACACCATGTGAGTTACCATCATGACACTTCTGCTTAAATGCATTTCCATTTATGTTAAATCACTGGAAGCTGTGGTGGATTATGTTGCTATTTTGGTGTAATCTCTACTGTGTGCCTTGATTCATGCTCAGTTAAGATCTGGATCCCACAGGGGTTTTTGTGATGAAAGAGGGTGCTTGTTTTCCTGGTGAGTAACCTGATCATAAATTAGGACTCATCACCCAAGGTAGTACTTCCAAAGCAGTTTTAATATTCTGCAATTTGGGTTGTAGTGGTTAGGTAACTGGAAGGCTGCGTCTCCATCAGCTTCAGCAGCAAGGCATTGAGGAGCTTCCTGTTCACTGCTGTTGAAATTGTAACCATTTCTAATATTTATCCAGCCACTGATTTCTCTATGGTAAAGTGCATTTAAATACTGTGGGCACTGAAAGGAGAACCTGAAATAATGGGATACCTGCGTCCTTAAGTTCTTGGGTCTATTGCCCTCCTTGGAGTAGCCTATGTATGGTTAAGAGTAAAACATTTAGAAAGTCCATGGAGTCTGAGTATTGAAGATAAACACAACTTAAACCACCAGTAGGTCTTCCTGTAACAGTGCCTTTGCATTTCGGAAAAGATAAAGGTCAAAGTCCTAACCACATCTTAGGCTACCTGCTAATTTCTTCTGAATGGTGCAGAATGCAGCTGCTACCTCTGACAATGCACAGTTGTAACAGGTGTGACAGTCAGCATTGCTGCTAAATTTAGCTCTGCGTGTGGGGATTTCATGCTGTGCAGCCCCTTGGAGAGGGGAACATTGGCAAATGACTGTGTATAAAAGTAGAAAGCACTTGGGAGTTTCAACACCATGCTAGATTTAGATCACAGTAAAAGGGCCAATCTAAATTGGTTACAGACTACAGAGAGACATAGGCCTGGCACGGGTGCCATGAATTTCACATCAATTCCATTTTTGCACAATCACCTCAGTCCCCAAGGGGCATTTCATGAAATTTAATGACAATGCTTTAATTACAAGGAGCAACTGATTTTTTTTATAAACATGTAAAACTCTAAGACAGGCATCCCATTTCTTTGGCGGCAAGAATATGACCAATTTTCCGACTTCTAATTTGTAAACGTCGCTTGTCTCCTTTGGTTTCACTTTGAAAAGTAAAGTTTTCTTTAATTAAATTATTCATTACTGGCACACTAAAGCTACTCATGAGAATGGAAACTTTTAAAATATACCTCTCTTATAGACAATAAGTGAAACACTTCAGTTTTTGGCAGGGATCAGGAAGGAAGGAGCATATTCTGGGAAAGACAAATGTGACATTTGAGGACATTGATCTTAATAACAACTTGTTGCAGGGTAACTTTTAGTTTTATCCCCTTCAGTCTGTGTGTGTCTTATACTCATATCTAAAAAGTGATAATGAAATAGCTCTCTGAATAGTTTTCAACAAGAAAAATTCGAGACCCAGAAAGCTGGCATGCTTTGGTCAAAGTCAGAGTCACTCAGTAACAGAATCCCAAGATCATTTCGTTCTGCTTTGAAATATACACTTGTGTCTTCGTTACCAAGTCAACCTTCAAATCAAGTTCACACTTATGTGCAACTCAATCCTGCTTTGGGGTAAGAAGGGAGAAAAAGACAAAGAAGCTGCATGTATAATGCAAAAATCCTTATGAGAAAAGTTTGACTTAATTTTTCCTTGATTTGGAAGGAGCTCATTGTCCCAGATTGCAGTAATACATCTGCCATTATCTGAGTTTTTAAAAGTCCAGTAATAGTAATAACATAGATAGAATATGCGCATTTTTCTCATTCACCGGAAACTTTCTGCAAAATTTCTCCTCCAATAGTAGCAGGTTCTTTAAATCTCTTCCTTAATTTGGGAGAAATCGGAAGGCCTATGATAATTAAAGCATTGTTCGTTTGAGAAAAGATTAATAATCCGTTCCATTCACCTGTGACATGATTTAGCTCCAGGTCAAGAGATGTCCGTGTTACATATGAAATCATTCTTTCGAGTTAAAGTAATAAATTAAAGCCTGTCATTTTCTTGGGGGTCCTCAGAACATCCTAAGGGAAATTCGTGTTTGCAGCTTCCAAGGATCTTGCATTTTAACAACTGCTGCATATGAATTTCTGTGGTCTGAGGTTTGTTCAAGGCTCAGGAGCTCTCTGGTTACTATGGAAACCTACCAGCTCAACCAGCTGCTATTTGCCGGTTTCCTTTAAAAGAATGACTCTTAAGCCTCTTAGATGTCCCACAAGCACAGTGAAGATGAAGAATGACGAATAGAAAACACGAGCAGCTTGCTACATGCGAAGCCTCACAAGGAAAAGAAAGCCTTCTTGTACATCAGCCCTCCAGGCTTTGCTGATATCCGATGAAGTCTCGCCAGCGGTCTGACTTTAAGGAGTGGGAATTCGGCTTTGCATTTCCACGTCTGTGAACTGAGGAACACTCTCTGTGCTCTCGGTGATGGGTGAGATGACATGCTTGAGTCGAAGAAGCATTGTGAAGAGCAGGATGAGAAGAATGGCCAGCAGGCTCAGAAACAAGCCTACATACATGTACAGGTTGGAATACTTGTCTGAAGTGGTGTCAACCTCTGTTGCCAGAGTGGGAAAATGAGCCCGCCCCGTGAGATTTCCATGATACTTAAAATGCACCTCCGTCATCACTCAAGATTTGAGTTGATATTTGCTTCTATTTGATTTCTATTGCCCTTGAGGCATTCCACAGTCACCTGACCTGTCTGTGAATGTTTTGGTGGTGCTTCACCAATGTGATACAGACCAAAATCAGTAGCGCATAAGCAAGAAGGCAGTGAGTAGTCCTCTAACTTACCAGTTGTTGCACGTCCCTGTGCTCTAGTAAGCAGACCCCTGGCAAATAGGCCTACCAGAGCGTCTTAGTCAGTTTAGACAACAAGTAAAGAAATAGTCAGTGTTCACACTCTTAATCTTTCACTGGTGAAAATAAATATGGTGAAACAACTTTATAATACTGGCATGGAGACAAGAATCTCTTAATGTATTATATTAGATTGTTGAGGTTCTCTTTTATTTTGTTTTGCTTTGTTTTTAGTACCAGGAGAAAAGGCTCCTTCTTATCAACAGTTCATCTAGATCTGCAGACTAATGATGTTGCTTTAATCGGGTTCCCCTGTGAGGTGATTTGCTTAAGGTTTTGTATATCACTGGCTCAGCATATCCGAGTTTTCAGCCCTCTTGCCTGACTTTGTCAGTCTTCCCTAAGGTTGGAGATTACAATGTTCCCGCTCAGATGCCCAGCTTGAAGGATGTCAGAGTATAGGGCATGAATTGTCTACAGCTTTGTTGATTTCCCTCACGGTATCCTGCAGGCGAAGGGTTGCCAGAGCTACTGATTCTCAGCAGGAGAGGGTCTCAGATATGCTGACGACAGGCCAGGGCTCAGAGAATTCAACTGTCAGGATTGCTCACAGGCTAATTTTCCTGAAAAATAAATAAGAGAGAGAATGGTTCAATTATCTAAAAAAAAAGGTAGGTGGCAAATTATTTTGAAATAGATATGACCATAGGAATTATAAATTAGTTTTCTGTAGGAAAATTAGATTTAAAATAAAAAACCCCATGAGTTTACATAATTTTAAATGCCTTTTTCCTGTGCAGGAAATGGCCTTTAAAAGGCAAAGGAATAAAACAAAGAGATTAAACAGAAAGGGAGAAAACAAAATGAAACAAAGAGGTTGAAAGAACAATCATATCGCTTGCTAAACTGAAGCTAATTACCAGGCCAGATTCCTGTGGTGTTTTTCATGCTGACAGATCATGAGATTTACTTAGCGTTCTTATTAATACACAGACCTGGTCCCCAGCCTAGATTTTTGGCTACCAATCTTCAAGGTACTACTTGAGAGATTCAGACTTTATTTGTCTGGGATGAGGCTAAAGCAGTGCTAACTTTTCAAAGCTCCCCAAGTAACTCGAAACTGCAGCCAGGACCGTGAAGCACTGGAAAGCCAGCCGTTGGATTTCAAACCTTGGCTTTCGGTCTTCAGGTGCCAGCGCCAATTGCCGCTTTCATGAATCACAGAATGTTTAGGAATTCAGGCTTCCCTAATGTTGTTCTTGTTCTTTCTCATTTGGGTTTATGGTGTGGGGATATACATTTGATTAATATTTGTAGATAAAAAGAACTTGGAGGGCATGTCTATTCTGAGTAAAGAAATGGATCCTTCCAAAAGATGTAGGGTAAATCCCTGTCTTTATCGGTAAAAAGATTCCTTTGTGTAAATAGAATGGTTCTGATTGCCATCTCAAAGATTAACATGGAATATAAGTGGCCAAAATAAACAATAGAAAAAAACCACCATTTGTCACACTTATGTAGGCAACAGTAGCAGATTGCCACAGTAGCCTCCTACTGTCTTTTTTTTTTTTATCAGATCTAATGAGTGTTAATAGAAATAGCTCCAAAGCCACATTACTCACAGTCACCTAGAGTGTGAAACACTTCAGTTTGAGTTTATATTCTCTAGTCTTGATTGCTATATTTTGGGTGATTCATATGCATCTTAGTCTTTCTGCCAGTGCTTCTCAAGCATCCTATCACTGTGATCCTTTAATACAGTTCTTCATGGTATGGTGACCCCCAACCATAAAATTATTTTCATTGCTACTTCATAACTGTATTTTTCTACTGTTGTGAATCATAATATAAATATCTGATATACAGGATATCTGATAAATGAGCCCGGTGAAAGGGTCACTCAATCCCCAAAGGGACGGAGACCTACAGGTTGAGAACCACTGATCTCTACTTAGTGCTCCTGCTTCCCACACAAAGCCATCTTGCTCATAAGATATGAGCAAAAGAGAAAGAGTCTGCTTGTTTATCCTTGATGTAATGGTCTAGGATACATACTTGCTATACTTAAAAGTATATATTTTTTGATTTGGGGTTATCTGAGATCAAGGTCTAGAAATGCACATTCTATGCGAGTGATTCTTTGCACATTGAACTTTGAGAATGAACTGCTGTTTTCCCTCTATATAGCAGATTTATTTTATTGATTGCTTGAAGGTCTTTTTAAATTAATTTTTTATCACATATATTGTGATTCCTTCCCATCCTCCAATTCCTCTCAGATCTTCCTTACCCACTTAACTTCATATTCTCTCTCTCTCTCCCTTTTTTAAAAAACAAAAATGAAAAATGAAAATCAAAACAAATAAAAACCACATAAGGCAAAAATAATAAATGAAAACAAAACAAAAATTACACACACACACACACACACACACACATGCCATGGAGTTCATTTGGGGCTAGCCAACTACTCCTGGGTACAGTTTGCCCTAGAGTGTGGCTGACATACCCAATGACATTCCATTGGAGAGAACAGGTGTTTCCCTTTCCCAGCAGGTATCAACTGTTACTAGCTTCTTGGTTAGGGGTGTGTCCATTTCTCCTTAGTGCTGGTATTTTGTCTGATTTGAACATGGGCAAGCCTTGTGCCTGCTGTTCTTATCTCCAGTACCTGTGACTCTGACCTTATGTGGTAATAAGGCCTTTGCAGATGTAATTAAATTAAAATGAGATCATTGTATTGGCCATAATCCAGTGACTGATGTCCCCTTAAGAAAAGACTGTAGCAGTGATGGATCTACAGACCAAAGCATGCTAAAGATTGCTGGCAGACTCCAGAGGCTAGATGAGGCGAAGAAGGATTCTCCCTTACAAATTTCCAAGGATGCGTTTCCCAGCTGATGCCTGCATTTGCATTAGTGGCCATCTAGACAACCTTCTAGACTAAGAGAATAATTTTGTTTTTGAGACAAAGTTTCACTATGTAGCACTGACTGGCCTGGAACTTGTTATGAAGGCCAGGCTAGTCTCCAACTTGCAGAAACTGTCCTGACTCTGCCTCCCAAGTGCTGTGATTTGAGGCCTGTGTCATACACACAGTATCAATTTCTGTCATTTTAACCCATCAAGTTTATGAACCTATGTTATGGGACTTTTAGTAAAGAAACACACAAAAATAGTCACCTGGAAGCTCTGGGCTTTGCATGATAGTATTTCTTAGAGGAATTGAGAGAAGTCTCTCCCACCAGAATAATGCACCTGGAATATGCTAGTCGAAATGCAAATTCCTAGGCCATTTCCCTCGATATCTGGCAAGGCTCCCTGGGGACAAGACCTTGAAATTTCTGTTTGTAGCAAGTTACCCACTTTGTTTCTAAGCATATATTCTTTAGGGAATGTGTTTTAGTCATGGGTATTCTTCAGGATTACTTATTAAGCTTCTGGAGTGTGTTTACAGACACACACACACAGTACAGGTACTGAATCACTCAGCTTATATGGAGGGTGAACATCTGCATAGCTTAAAGCTTTCACAGGTGGCGTTAATATTCAGTCAAGGCATAGAAGTTCTATTCTCTAAACAGAACAGAGTAGTTCAAATTTAGGACCCTTAGCAGTCATAGGCAACTCACACAGAAGCATCTTTTGATTCCCCTTTGGGTATCAAATACCTTGTTTTTCTTAGATAGGGTATCAGTCTGAACAGTTTTCCTTCCCAACCAACCTTCTCCCTGTGGCTCCTTTAATTAAGAGTACTACACTAGCTTAGAACCAGCCTTGGTATATGACATTAAGCTCAAGAGGTGGAGGCAAAAAGACCAGGAAGGAGTTCAAGGTAATTTTCGGATACGTGGGAAAATCAGGGCCAGCCTGAGCTATGTGAGAGCTGTCACGACCCCTTCCATCAAAAAAACAGACAACAGAAGGAATGATACTAGCCTAGCCTCGAAATAAGAGCTTGATACGCTTTCCACCCTTAACGTTTTAAAGTTACTTTCCCACACACCTTCCAGATGAGAAGCAGAAGGAAAAGTAAGCATTTGCTATGTATTAAGCCAAATGAGAAAGACCTCAACAATCTTATAGTAGCTTTCTGATTGCCCTTGTAGATAAAATACACAGGCCTTATCTTATGCCTTGAAATTTGGCACATTGTCATCATTAGTAAGCTCAGGCTTTTTGTTTACTGAGGAATACAGTGAACAACCATAGACACACACCTGTGAGTAAATGCCAACTGCAAGAGGATAATCATTTATATTTTCCTCATCTCATCCCTCTATCTACTTCTTTCAAGCAGTAGCCAATACCCAACACCTTGAAATTTATTCAGCAACCAATGCCTAAGTAATGTTCATAGAATGTATTTTAAAATTTGAAAAAAAATCCAGCAACAAAGGGATATATAAAAAAATAAAAAAAATTCTATACAGTGGAAGTTTTCATTCACAAAGATCAAAGTTAAATTGGTTCCATGAAAATGGATCCAACTGGAAAGATTCACATTACACAAATTATGTTAACCTCAGGAAGACAAATAACAGGTTTGCTCTCATCTACAGGTCCTAGCCTTTGTATAGACACATAGAATCACACACACACAAGGGAGGGAGAATGAAAATAGAAATAAAACTGTCTAGGAGGAAAAGGGACTGGTGGAAGGGTGAGGGTATAGGAGATATATACTCAGTGTACAATATGCACTAGTACGATATGTCTTGATGCAACACAGTACCACACACAGTGAATATACACAATGAAACATTTTTAAATGTTTTGGCTTATGCATAATGCTCAAGTTGTTATTTTTACCTTACATTCTATTAATATATGATTTGATTTTGACTTCCTTACAATAACAGGATAAAGAAGATCACAAATTGCGTTGAGGCTTCTTATTGCCATTGGACTTTGCTCCATTCTCCTTAGCTTGATATGTAAGATTATCAGTGTGCAGACTGCCCTTAATTCATTCTAATATCCTCCTTTCCACTAATACCAACTCAACCTGATTCTCTGCTTTCATATTTTTGTTGAAAAAATTCCCTCTATCTTTATATATCTCTGTACAGGGAAATACTATCATTCTTGAAGCTTCCGCTCATGAAACTGACCTTGGTTTCTCACCCCAATCTTGATTTCCACGTTTTATTTTTCTCCTAGAGGAATTACCCTTGGTAAAAACTGGAGATATCTATTTGCTATGTTTTCTACACTCCTTGAGGTTCTCATACAGTATCCCGTCTCTTGTATAAATCTGCTTACAGTAGCTGGTCAATAACAATTGAATAAATGCATGGATATGAATGAAGAAATGCACTTAGTACTGAAGGCTTGCAGAAAAATACAGCCCTTCCTTATTTCTGAGTTAGCTGTGACTGTAATTGCCCCTTAGCATTGGTTGCAGATCCCCACAGCTTCCAAAAGTCCAAGCATGCTCAGTATCTTATGTAAAGTGGCTCATTTACATAGAATTTTTATACATCTTTCTGTATGTTATGATCCATCTGTAGATTACTGGTAATGCTAATTACAATGCATATAGTACATAAATTATTATATCTATTTTTACAGACTAGTGAGAAGAAACAAAAGGTTGTACAACTCAGTAGCACACATTTTTAAAAATTAATTTGCCATCTGCAGTTGACTGAACCTGCAGTTGGTTGGAATCATGAATTTACTTCTCTCAGATAACAAGCGCTAACAGCACAACCTGGAGCAAAGCCTGCATTTCTTTTCCTTTCTAATCTTCTCTCACTCTTCTCAATGGCTTATTGTATAGAGACTGAATTCCAGAGTATAATATGGAATTAAAGGAATAATAACTATTAAAACTTCATTCTTCAATTTTCATTTTAGTTATGCACTTTTAAGAGAAAACTACAGGCGTGAACTAAATTTTATTCTCTCTCTCTTTTGGCTGCTATGGGGATTGAACCTAGAATCTTACGCCTGCTAGTCAATTGTTCCACCACCAAGCCACATCCTCTAGCAGTTAATTTTGAAAGTTTAAAAAGTATACTTGTGAGGATATGACTTTTGGCAATGAATGAGAGTGCATCTTGGGTCCTATATCATTGACCACGATTTTTTCTTAGGTTTGAATATTTATTAATTACTTATCAGAATTCTATAAAGATTGATTGAGGTTAGATAACAACAATATCTGTGACAATTGATATCCGCTTTGATGGTTCAAAAATGAATTGTATAATTTCTAAAAACTTCTGCAGTTTGTAAATAACAAATGCCTGGGTAGATTTAGACAGTTTCATTTGCAAAATTCATAAAGGGCTTTGAATTTAACTTTGTAAAATGAAAAGTTAAGGATCAGGAAATTGTCCCTGTGTTCCTGTATCTGTGACAATGTCTCATGAAAGTTTTCCAAATAGCAATACTGTGGTTATTTGATAATTAATTAATGAATTGCACAGATAACAGGACTTCTCCATGCGAAGCTCTGCACCATATGAAAGGAAAACAAAACAAAACAAAAAAGAACACTATTTCTATCTATTCTGAAGATCTGATTATCATGGAAAGATTTTTATAGAATTATTTTCTCATCCTGTATTCTTTTCTTGAAATCATATAAATATAACTTAATTTCTAATCTTTGTAGAAAGTGATTGAAAGGTGTTTCTGGATAAAGATAAAAGTGAACAATGGACATTAAGGTGAAGCTCTAAAAAAAGACATAGGAGAGGAAATTACGAAAGAAAAGAGAGAAAGAGAGAGCATGGAAAAATTCTAAGGTTGGTATAGATAATGAGGGATGTGGGAGAGAAGAGGTGGGAAGAAATGAGCTTTTGAGACAAAGAGAAGGAAGAGAAATGGGAAAATATTGGGAAAGGAGAGAGGAAGAAAGGAAAGGAGAAGGAAGTTTGGAGAAAAGGGAAAAGAGACAGACATTAATATAGTTAATTGGCAATGTCAACATAAACCTCACAACTATCTGCTTTACTTCACTTCTAATGTAAATAAACATACCCAAGAGTGATATGAATGAAACTTTGGTTTTGGTTTTCTATTTGCATATTTAATCATTAACTTGGTAAACAAATTCTTGGTAAAAAAAATCTTCTTGTATTTTACTATAAGATTTGGATTGCTAAGTTTAGTGTATAAAGCCCCATAGGAGTAAAATGACATGAATTTTTCTCCCTAAAATAAGGAAAGAATGTAGCACTTTCTTTGTCTATCCACCCCAAGGGGGATCACAAATGTGAGACTTATTCCTAATGAGGAATAAGCAATAAAGTTCTATGCAGGTCTACAAAATCAGACTGACATTTATTCAGTCAAACTTTACTGAGTGCCAATCAAATTCCAAGCACTAAAGTTAGTGCTGGGGACACAGAAATCATTGTAAACTTATCCTTGTTTTGGTCATTGGGGTGCCCCAATGGTTATTTATTCTTTTTATTGATAAAGTTCTGAAAACAATCCTGGGCCATTTTATAGTTCTTTGCTTGCTACCTGCTATAAAAAATTTCAGAGCTGAACTCCCAATACACAAACAGGAAAGAAAAACAACCAATAAATTCTGGAAAGCAAGTCCCAGCTGTTAATTGGTATCACTTTTAAGAGTTAACATATTCTGTTTGCATGTATCTGCCTAATGAGGAACCGGGAACTAAGGGAGGAAGATACTCTTAGAGTATCCAGTTTCTTAACAGCCTATGGAAAACCAACGTCAGCAGTGAGTGCTCCTTCAATGGTTAGAGACATGAAGTAATAAGCTTGCACAAGTGGGAGTTGCTATATCTTCTACCGCAGAAGGTGCCTGTTACACCTACTGGTAAATAAAATTCATGCTCACTTCGGCATGAATAGCATCATTGTACCTCTACATATTTCTTACCTTTCCTGGGTCACAGAATGAATGAATGCGGTTGGCCTTTTACATATCCCCCTTGAAGCTCACACCAGCAGACAACTTGTTCAGGAGCACCTCTGGAATATCTGGAAAATAGAAGAAAACCCTGAAGAGTCCCCCTACCCAAAGAAACAGTACTATGCCCATGCAATGTAAGCTTTCTCTTTCACCTTCCTGAAGAGTCAGTCTTTTCAGAAAAGCAGAAAAGCACCTTCAGTTAGTTACTTAAAATCTGTTAGCACTTACGGTTTCAGAGGGCAGTTTCTGATGTCCGTTTCTTCTAAGCTTCAAAGAGCACTGAGAAGTCTCCGGATGTGTAGATGCCCTCTTGGAACATTTGAATAGAAACAGCCCGAATTGGTTAAGTTCCTGGCTCCTTCTTTACAGGCAACAGTTTAGCGAATGCAGGAAAGGTGACGATTCCACTCAGCTCAGCTCTGCCTGAGCGGTGTGGAGCCCCAGAGGGAGGGAGGAGATGCGAGAGCAAAGTTTGTACAAGCCTTCCACTTTAACCCTTTCAAGCCTCCTTCGCTGAATCTATGGGATTAGCTACGGCTTTCTCCCTTTGTAAATGCTGCTTCGTGTGTCATTTAAGAGGATCAGATCTCTTGTTCAGTTCAAGGGATTTTCTCTTCCTAGTTCTCATAGCAATGTGGGCTTAGAATGGAAGCATGCCAGGGTGTGGTGGTATTTAAATAATTGCATCTTTACAAACAGAATGAATGTATGTGTATATTTCTGGGCTTGAGAACCTTCTTTTAGACATAATGCTAATAAAGTTTAGATTGAATATAATGTGGAAATTAAGTAGCAGCCTGTTACGAGTTAAGGACAGAAAAATCTTTGAAGGAGGAATATGTGTTCCATTAGAAATAAAATAATCTACCTGTAGTTTAAATACTCTGTCTTGCATATACTAAGAAGGAGACTAGCATTTCTTGAAGGGCAAATATACATACAGCACTGATTAAAAAGAAACTTCATTTCCTGGGCCAGGTGTGATGACAGTATTTGAGATTTGAGACAGGATGATCAGGAGCCGGAAGCCAGCTTGTCTACATAGTGTGTTCCAGGCTATCCTGGGCTACATGAGATTGTGTTTTCACAAACAGAAGCCAAAGCAAAGAAGTCAATTTCTTTTCCATAGGAATATTGTGGTTTGTGCAATATGATCCTCGCTTTAGTAGCTGAGCCCTGAAATTCACAGAGAGAGTCTACAGTGTAACTGAGGGAGGATGGAGCCAGTGTGTTAAAACAAGGCAAAGTGCTCCCCATGTCTCTCCTCTTCTCTCTGTAGCAGTGCTTCTTAACCTGTCAGTCACGGATTTCTTTGAGAATTTAATGAAAGTCTGGTTTGGAACAGTCAGCATTGCTCCTCCAGTGTTGTATCAGCACCAGTGCGTTTTTTATTCAACAACACCTGGGCAACAAGAATTCCTATTACAATAACAATAAGAACTTCATTAATAGTAACCAGTGTCTTGCCAATTTGAAGACATTACTGGGCTGGGCATGTGACTCAATAGCAGAGTAATTTCGTAGTATGCATGGGGGCCTGGGTTCAATTACTGGCACTGCAAAAAAATTAAATAAATGGCTATTTGACTTTCCTTTTATTCTCACACTCTCCTTAACAATTTAGGATTTTATGTCCTCATTTTCCATCATTCCAGTGGTTACAATTGTTTGAGGTCTCCTTGAAATCCTAGTGCCTTACTTACCAGGTAGAGGGTGCTGGGATTTCTCTAACTGGAACACTATGCTTATGAGTAATGAAACTGCAGGATGAAGCTAGTACATTTTGCTAGAGAAGTGATTTCACATAAATATTTGGAAAAATAATAGTTACATAATATGATTAAAATTCAACTTTCTAGGAAGATAATAGATGTTCTACAGTAGATGAGAAACACTGGAGCTAGACCATCATGTACAGAATTTACATGGAAAATGCTCTAATAGATAAGAAGCCTTATTAGAAAGGGAGCAGCAAAGAAGTCTGTGGAAGAATTTCTTTGCAGAGAGTTATTGTCATCTTTCACTCCATCACCCATAAGAGTGACACGACCAGAGTGAAAATCTCTCCTACGCCTCAAGTGCTCTCAAGCACCTGGGAAGAGGAGATATTCTCAACAGAGACACTTAGGCCATTCCCTTTGTCAACAGGTGTGCAAGAGTCCAAGCTTGAAGATGAGTGTGCTTAACAAGTGTTAAGAGACCAGGATAGAAAATGAGTGTGATCAACAGGTATGCAGGAGTCCAAGCTTGAAAATTAGGATGCTTAGCAGGTGTGCAAGTGTCCAAGTTGGAAGTTGGCCTGGAAAGAAAATGTCTTCTTTGTATTTGCAAAAGAAATGGACCTAGGAACAAAGAAGTCTGCTAGGCATGGAAGAGCTGGGCATTTACATCCTCTATCCTAAAACCCTTGAGATCATTCTCACTTTCAAAAAGGGGAAATTTTTTTTTTATTGATTTTTATTGAGCGCTACATTTTTCTCTGCTCCCTTCCCTGCCTCTCCCCTCTCCTTCAACCTAAAATGGGAGAGTTTAAATGGCAAGTGATGCCGCAGGGCGATTGGTAATGAAAAATCCCCAGACTATCTTAATACAAAAATATACAGCTTTAATAAACAGAAGTAAGACCTACAACAGCTTACACCAGAATTCAAACGATCCTTCCAGGTGCAGAAGCCAGGCGAAAAAGAGAGTTAGTGGAGCACTTGCTACATTTATAGGCAGGCTTTAGCCTGAGGGTGGCACGCCCCCAAAACAGAATGTGATTGGCTGAACTCCCCTATCAGGCAAGCTAACTCATACCTCTGATACTCGTGCCTGCAAAGCTGATGCAGGAGGATTATCATGAGTTCTAGGCCAGGCTCAGATACTTAGTGAGTTTGAGGCCAACCATAGCTGTAGTGAGATCTTTTCTCAAAACAAGCAAGCAAGCAAACAAACAAACAAACAAAATAACCACCACCAACAGTAACCAACAAATAACTAGTCAGAGACCCTTAAAATGGAATGCCAACCCAATTTTCCTCATTTGGTCAAGTCTCAAGAAAAACCTACCTGTCTCTATAACACAGAACAGAGGCAGTGGAAGAACCTAGGGCCTGGGTTGACTTTCTCCCTAGGAAAAGATTTATTGTGGTGTTTCTAATACACTACATGTGGGGTGAAGGCAATTAGAGATATCTGTGAATACAGCCCAATACAAAATCATATATCTACTTAAGACATTATGAAATTATTGTGTGTATGTGTGTGTGATTTCTTTTTACTTTTTTTTTCTAATTTGGCTGCCCAATTCCTTTTTTTAAAAATTTATTCTTCTGTCATGTATTACATCCCAATCGCAGTTTCCCCTCCTTCCCCTCCTCCCCATCTTTCCCCCCAGATCCACTACTCCTTCATTTGCCTTCAGAAAAGGGCAGGCCTCCCATGGATATCAACTAAAGATAGCATGTCAAGTCACAGTAAAAATAGTCACATGCCTATGATGTGATGAGGCAACCCAGAAGGAGGAAAAGGGTCCCAAAAGCACGCAAAAGAGTCAGAGACAAGTCTTGCTCCCACTGTTAGGAGTCCCACAAGAGCATCAAGCTACACAGCCATAACATACATGGAGAGGACCTAGATCAGACCCATACAGGCTCCCCGATTGTGATTCAGTCTCTGTGAGCCTCTATGAGCCCTGATTAGTTGATTCTGTGAGCCGTTTCTTGGTGTAGAAGGTCCTTCTGTATTTGTGTTGCTTTCATTGGTTAATAAAGAAACTGCTTTGGGCCTGGTGATAGGGCAGAACTTAGGTAGGCAGGGAGACAGAACTGAATTCTGGGAGGAAGAAAGAGAGAGACAGAGAGTCACCATGGAGCTGGCAGAGACAGACATGCCAAATCTTTCCAGGTAGGGCACTGCCACGTGGTAATATACAGATTAACAGAAATGGGTTAAATCAAGATGTGAGAGTTAGCCATTAAGAGGCTAGAGATAATGTGCTGGGCAGTGATTTAATTAATATAATTTCTGTGTGATAATTTTGGTTGTATTTTGTGTGTAAACTAGCTGGGATGACAAGGAGCTCGCTCCTACAACAGTTCCTTGTGGTGACTTGACCCCTATGACTCCTACAATACTTCCTTGTGATGGGGAATCTCAACCAATCACATTCTGCCTAAGGTGTGGCCATTCGGGCTATAAAAGATTGAAGTGCCTTGCTCCCTGTCCCTTCGGTTTTCCAGCTCCATTGGTGTTCGTGGGATCCTGGGTCTTGTAGGTTTTTCCTTTTTGATTAAAAGCTAAATCTTTTATGTAGTATTGGTTTGTTTATTCTATCGATCGACCACGCCCGCCACATCCTTGCCTTTCCCTGCAGGAGCTCTTCCTAATGTTTGGCTGCCAGGCTCTGCATCTAACCCATTCAATTGTTGGATGAAGCCTCTCTGATGATGATTATGCTAGGCTCCAGTCTACGAGAAATGCAGAGTATCAGTAGGAATCATTTTATCTACTTTTTAAAACCCAGTCATGTTTGGTTCGGTCCTATGTCTCTGCACTATCCAGTTTGTGCTTCCTGACCCCCCAGGCAGTGTCTGGCATGGGCTCCCTCTCGTGGCATTGGTCTCAATTTGGACCAGTCTCCCACAAGTTCTGAGCCACCTTTACCCTACCACATCTTACAGGCAGGATGACTGATAGGTCAAAGATTTTGTGGCTGGGTTGGTGTCCCAGTCTCTCCACTGGAAGTCTTGTCTGGAGGCAGGAGATGGCCACCCAGTTCTTGAGTGAGTGCTTTGTAGCCACCAATTCCACGGTGCAGTATCAAAAGGTTGGGCAAACCTGGACTAGTAAACTGTATCACAACAAATTTTATGTATGTTGTGGACTTTACCTTCTAGTCTTATTTTGTTGAGTTTTTAAAATAATATTTATTAATTTTCTTTGAGAAGTTTATAAAATGTATCTTGATCATATTCATACTCCCACTCCTTCCCCCAACTCATTCCACATATACCTCTCCCCACCCCAGTCACCATTTTGAGTCCTTTTTCTTTTCTTAAAATACTTTTTTTTGAGAGAGGGCTGGCCTTATTGTTGATATGCAGCAGAGGATGTCCTTGAACTTCTGACCTTCTATTGCTAAGTGTTAAGATTATATGCTTGTGTCACTATGTCCGGTTAATTTGGTACTAAAGATGCTTTCACTTCATCTTCCCTAATAGTGAGAGGTTTAGGGTGGTAATACCTCCTGAACCTTAAGTGCAGCCGTGTAACAGTGCTCTCATGCCGAAACACTGATAGAAGAAGAGCATTTTACCAAATGATGTACAGCCCGGCCTTGCCTCTTGTTCTCCTATAAATTGTTATAATAGCCAGTGGCACAGTGTGCTGAAAATTAGATTTCATTTTCCCCACAGTTTGCCCAAAAG